AATATATTAAAAGTACAGGCCATGCAGCATTTGCCAGATATTCAAACTGTTTCAAAATCTCTACAGCTGATTCAATGAAGATGGAAAAAAGAGAAGAAACTAAAAGCACAAGACATACACGTTCCTCAGATGGGCTGGGCTATGACCCAGGGCGCACCGCAGCCGCATGCCTGCTCTAATTTTGTAGCACGCTGGGCCAGCTTTTAAAGCCGACATAACTGGATGTTACCCAATACAATAGAATGAAACTCGCAACTAAATCTAATATGAAGTAGGCGGTTGGGAGTGTTGTCAGAAATGAACCCACAACTAAACCCAATAAGAAGTAGGTTGTTGGGAGTGCAACCCAATGTTTGATAGAACACAAACCCACAACCAAACCCAATACGCAGTAGGCGTTTGGGAAACTCACAACCGAACCCAACAAGAAGCATCCCAATACGATTGTTTTGGGGTATGGGACTATTATCTGCCGTCGTGCTCTCTCAACTACAGAACCCAAGTAGGTTGTGGAAGCGACTGCTGTCAGAATGAAGCTCACAACAAAACCCAATATGAAGTAGGCGGTTGGGAGTGTTCTCGGAATGGAACGCACAACTAAACCCAATAAGAAGTAGGTTGCTGGGAATGTAACCCAATGTTCGGTACAACCAAAACCCACAACCAAACCCAATACGAAGTAGGCGTTTGGGAAATTCACAACTAAACCCAATACGAAGCATCCCAATACGGCTTTTTCGGCGTATGGGAGTGTTCTGTGACCTATTCTCTGAACTACTGAACCCAAGTAGGTGGCGGCTTCGAGTCTTGTCAGAATGAAACACACAATTAAACCCGATATGAAGCATCCGGCTGAGCTTAGCGCTATTCGCGCTACCAAGTTGGCGACTGAGCTTATGACTATTCGTGCTACCAAGTAGGCGACTGAGCTTACGACCAAGTAGGCGACTGAGCTTATGACTATTCGTGCTACTAAGTAGACTGCTAATGCTACTGCTAGTGGGCGTAATAAGGCTGCTAATACTACTGCTAGTCCAGCTAGGTCACTGAGCTTAACAATAATTTGGTCGCGCCAGGATGATAGCCAACGCCGTTGTAAAGGCTTAACAATAATTTGGTCGGGGACCTGCAATATGACAAGTTCAATGCTTTAGATTATCCATATAGTACTAGGAAGTAACATAGACTAGTCTATTATTACGCATATAGTGGAAAGTAACATATGTGTGACGTCATATAACACTTCATTTATTAAGTTATAAACTCATCTTGCTATCTCTCTTCTCATTAAATCATTGCTACATTAGCAAATTTGCTGAGTTGAATCTTATGTTACCGCTGAAGTTATTCCACATCTAATGATTCCACATCTAAGTAAATGTTACATGATACCATCGAAGGTTGTACATAGGCATGTTATTAGTCTAAATTATTTCCTACTATGGTCAGCCTTACACTGGTCAATTTATACTCCTGAAAAAGTTTACTCCCTCTCTTTGTGTTTATAAGTCTCACACATTTTAATGAAAACTTTGACCATTAATTTAGTCAACAAAAAATATTTCTATGTCACACGAAAAACACCGTTTGATTCAAGTTCAAAATAAGTTCTCAATCGTATAATTTTTGTGACATATAACTCATATTCTGCTGACTAAATTATTGGTCGAAGTTTTATTGTAATATATGCGAGACTGACAAACCCGACAGCAGAAAATATTAGTTCTACTGAACAACATTTCGTTTTTGGGACATACTTGAACAACGTTTCTCTGATTAGCGGCTGGTCGGAAAATGCATGAAAGAACGGGTGCCCTATGCCCTATTTTAAAATCTTAGATGTCCACGTGTTACTGCAACGATTTTGACATTTGTCTATTACTCCCTTTCGTCCGACACTTATTTTCGGACGGAGGGAGTATAAAGCAGTTGTCACAAGATGCGTGAAAACAACTGGTGCTCTTTTCTAAAATACTTAGATGCCCATGAGTTACTACACTGATTTTGACATGTCTCTACTCTAAAGCAGGGATTACATAGAGAGTCCATACCTGCCGATTTGAGTATTAGTTTGGCACTTGCAGATGCGCATGTGTATGTCGTATACAACCCGTGCAGATGCTAATAATAATAAAAACTCAGATCGGCAGGAGTTATGTAAATGTTGCCATGGTTGCAATTGCGCATGGGTGTGTTGCGTACAGCCGGTGAACATGCGCCTAGTAGAAAAAATATGAAAGATATTAGCCAAACACTTGTG